CCTACTTTGGCTCAGACTAACATAATTACTATGATTTGCCAAAGTAGGGATAAAAATTTTTAGATTTTAAGTCACTCAGTTTTTGTAGTTTTGACTTTCTTGTTTAAATACTTTTTATATCATTAAAACTTTCTATATTACTATAGCTAGCTAGGTTACAAATATATTGATTCCCAATTGTCTTTAAAAAATGTAAGAATTTTTTATTATACTTGTTTGTTTCCTTTTTATTAGCTATATTTTTGTGGACCAGAAATATCAAAGTTGGGGCACACTTATACCCCAGAATCCATTTTATTACTCATCAAGATCTCTACCAACCTACCCTCAAATCTACTTGTATGCCCAAAGTAGCACATCATCTGTTTTATACATATATATGTATATATACACTAGTGTTATTTTCAATACAAGAAAGGAATCATTGGGACCCCAGATGGAAGAGTTGTGTTAAAGAATTAGAACTATAAGATTCATCATTTTTCCTGTACGCTTGTCTGGAAAAGTCACTTACTTGTATGAAAATTCATTGAAATAGTGAAATTTTGATTCACTCCATAAACATGTATATAGTAATTTAGGTGACTTTATATGTGTAATACGCTTTAGTTTTGTTCAGCCAATACTTTGAATTAGTCATTGTTAATATTTAGACATCTTATAGGTGGTTTTAAACGGGCAATTTTTATGGCTGCCATTTTATTTCATCTCAATCCCTACTATTAAGTACTACCATACTTAATGATAAGGAGCAGATAAGGCAAGTCAATAAATTTGTTTACTTGTTAAGCTCCAGTATCAGATGTCAAATCAGATCATGCATTAAAACCAAGAATAGGGATGGTAAAAGATGCATTTCTGAAAATGAGAAAGATGCCTACAAATAGTAAAATTTCTATGGAGATAAAGTTAAGAGTTTTAGATTGCTATATGATACCAGTTCTCACTTATGCATTAGAATATTCGACAATATCAGCAAGTATGGAAAAGAGAATTAAATTAATGGAGTTGTGATTCTTAAGGCATATTGGACATGTCACACCTCAGATGAAGATAGTTTGTCAAGAAAGGTTGCAGGAGGAAGCTGCTGACTTACATCAGGAAGATAGAGAGAGTTTCTTGGACACATTATCAGGAAAGAAGAAATTTGAAAATTTGGTTGTAACTGGAAAGATTGAAGGAAGGAGAGATCTTGAAAGACAGAGGTTGACTTATGTCAAGAATCTGTCTAAGTGGATGAATGTAACAGCATTGAAAGTTCTTTGTGCCTCAAGGAGGAGGGATATGTGTAAGCCCAAGGTCACCAATATCCTGTTTGGATGTGGAACCTAGAGAGAGAGAGAGAGAGAGATTTCAGTTTAGGAAGTTGTCCCAAAGTTTGACACACAAACACATTTAAGACATTTTTAGTGTTGCAATAGTTTGTATTTTTTTAATGTGGAAAGAAATTATCTTTTATTAGGAACAAATACTTATTTTCTGTTTTACTACATGTACTTAACTGTACATGTATATATTTTGGAATCAACCAGCTTGCTTCTATTATATTTCTGAAATTATTTTAGCTTTATAAAAGAAGGAACTTGGACACCTCCTCACCACTGCAAGATTCAGAAGTCTCTAGTTCACCAATGCAGGATGGACAAGATTCAATATCAGTATGATTTTTTTTTATTTGAGCTACATCTTTTTCTCTTATTTTATATATCCTTTTATCAAGATTTGAATTCAAGAAAGCTTAAAGCAACTTAAAATAAGAACAATGCTTAAAAGTTACATTATTTTTTATGTTTATGAACCAGAAATTTAAAACATTTAGAAATTCCTTTATTATGAAAGTAATAACTTGTTACAAAAATATAGCAAATTTAAGTAAACATTCAGCAAAGTAAAACTGCAGTTGGTGGATTGATCACATTAATACTGACCAATTTTATTGACTCAAGACATTTTCACAACCATATTTGATTATTAAATGGTTTGAGAAGCTGAACTTACACCAAAAATTGTAAATTAAATAATTCTTTAAAGAAATTCTGCATCATTTTTTATATTTATTTGTCTGTATGCCCACCAACATAGAAATGTGACTTTTTGAACAGTTTTTAACTACTACTTGACTGACCAGTAATTCTCTTGTGACATAAGTTTATAAAATAATTTATTACAATCTTACCTGTTGCATATATTTCTGCTAAATCTTGATAGAAGATGTAGTTTCCGGCTGTTAATAAAACTAAAATTTTCTGGATTTCTGGATTTTGGTTCTCTCTGTAGGTTATCTGCATTGATATAGATCAGCTAACAGCCACATTTTTCTGGTGTGTAAAGGCTGCTCACATTTTCTGGCTAACTTTTAACTCCTATTTAAGAAGTTTGATGCTCTTTAACCTTCTCGCTAGGGCAAGTCAAAGTGCACGTGTCTCAAATTTTTAGAGTTATGTTCAAAATTTAGTAAAGCTACTTTACTATCAATGTATATGAATAAACTTGGCATCAAAATGTAGTTAAATCAAGTTTTAAGTTCTTAATTTTTTAAAGGAAATATTTAAAAAAATCCTCAATCTTCCCTCTTCTCTAATTTATTTAACACCCATCTAAGAAGTACAGAATTTAATGTAAACTACTCATTATAATATAGTTATTACTTGGGCAAAGCATAATTTTTATAGCTTTCAGTCTTATCTATTACAGAGACATAAACTAGAAACTCAGACCTACTTACCTTGCCCACTTATCACATCCTCTGGGTCTTTCATGGACAGGTGGTTAGGGTGCTTGACTCGTAATTTTCTTAGGAGGTTTTAGAGATTATTAAAACTAAATTTGACAATTTTCAGATGAATAAAACTATTTTTAATTTTAACATGAAAATCACTTTGCACTTGGAGCAGTCAACACTTTGACTCCATATTAGAAGTTATAGTATTGGAAATTCTACAGGTCAATTTGAGGTCACGAACTTGCCTGAACTGACCGAGCTCGTGGTGAGAGAGTTAAAGGACCTTCTATCTTCTTCCAGTTCTCAACACTGACCTTTCTAGGGGGTGGTGATCCTTCTTAAGAATTTTTCAAACATAGCATACTCTGTAATATGAAAAATACATAATTTCTTTAGGCCTGGCATGGCCAGGTGGTTAGGGTGCTTGACTCATAATCTGAGGGTCACGGTTCAAATCCACGTTCCACCAAACATGCTTGCCCTTTCAGCTGTGGGGGTGTTATAATGTGATGGTCAATCCCACTGTTCATTGGTAAAAGAGT